AACTCATCATACATACTAACACGTGCTCGTGAGGTGTCAAGTGGGACAGTTATTAATTCGTGAGAACTATAGATATATCCATAGAAATATAATTTCAATCATCCAAACCCTCACTATGGGGGCCAACACACAAGCCACACAAGTCTATCCCTCACTCTGGGGGATCAATCAAACATATGGGTCTATCCCTCACTTTGGGGGACGAATAAGAAGCCACAAAGGCCTATCCCTCACTATGGGGGACGAAAGAAGAAGCCAACCAATGTGCACCAATGGTGGCCTTACCACGTGGTAGGATCGAACTCAATCCAAAATCCAAATAACAACCAAATCATTCACAATATAACGAAAAATGTCTCAATCTTTTCTCAGTCCATAAGATATAAATCATATATCTTTTCCAAACTTTTCAATCACAATTCCAAAAATCCCACAAGACAATTTTCATAGCTCAACAGATATAATATATCTACTCGAATTCCAAATATCAAATATTATTCTAAAAATAGCAAAATACTCACAAACAACATATTAGCACATATAACAAGTGGAAAGTGATTATCTCTCGCCAAAGCAATACTAAGAATTACCACAAGGTCAATATTTTGCTCAACCAATAATTAATCTACACAATTAATATAACCACATATTAATATAAATTAATTAATTAATTAATTAAACTTCTCTATATTATTTAAATTTTTACTCTAAATTCCCGCAACTCTCATAACTCAAAAATTATTAAGTATTTTAGAAACAACTTAAAATTTCTAACAACCCCAAATTATTTATTTACCATCTCCAAATTATTTATCTTAATAAAAAGGATTTTCAACAATTTCCAAATATAAAATTTTTATGTTATAAATTCTAAAAATCTTCATTTAAGTTTAAACTTTAAAATCAAACTATCAAAAATTCAATAATACTTCAAATATTTATAACTAAATAATATAATCAAAACTTTAATGGTATAACTACCATATATATATATTTCCATAAATAATAAACTTTTTAGCTACAATAATTATTTTAAAACCTCCAGTCACCCAATAAATAAAACTAACCCGATTAAAACCTCAATAATATATCAAACAACCCAAATAAATTATTTAACTTAAATTTAATCGGTAAAAATATGGTATATCTCATACATAACAGATTTTCCACTAAATAAATTAATTTAAATACTAAAACTAGCAAATAGAGAAATCTAAACCGATTAAAATTAACAACTCATTTACTTCTAAATTTCTATAGTCTTCTTTTATCAAAACTTATATCATATATAATCTCAAAATTTTCTCTAATCACTATGATAATACTACTATTAGGAAGCATAAAATATATATGAAATATTTATGAAGAAAGTTTGATGAAAAGAGATAATTTCATGTACCTAAAATATCTTCAAAGCTTGCCTTCTGTTTCACCGGTATGTTCCTCTCGCTCACACACACTTCCCCCCCCCCTCTCCCCCTCTCTCTCACTCCTTCTTGCGCCTGCCGTGGGGAGAAATGGATTGTGGGGGGTATTTAACACCCCCACACAATTATTGGGGGAGGGGTTTGTTTTTCAAACCCAACCCCCAATTTCCACCGCCCTCCTCAATTTTCCACACCCCCCTCCAACTTTCCACCGAAATATCGGTGGAAAGTTGGACATTTTCCTTTTTTTTTATATAAAATATTATTATATTATATTATATTATATTATTTTTCAATTACTTTTTTTTTGTTGAATTTTTTTTAAGGATATTACAGTGCACTAATAAAAAAAAATTATAGGGACCTAATTCAAAACTCACTATAACTATGAGGACTGGGCGTTTAGTTTTCCCTAATTTCTGATTGTTCGATACTTTTTTAATTCCTCTTATCTTTCTCACAATTCCGAGAGAAAATAAAATGATAGAAGATTCCTTGGAAACAAACACAAGCAAGCTTATCTTGTGTGTGTGCGGGTGGGTGTGTTCCATTGCTGCAATATTATATTGCTCGTGAGATGGGCTTCTGTCGAGGTCAAAGCAAGGAAAGGAATGGTAAGTGCATCGTTTTTTCACGCACACACACAGATATATGTAACATTTACAGTTTTGATTCATATAAAAGTGTAATTTTATCACAAATGACGGTTAGGTTGAATAATATGGGACTCTAACCCATTAAATAAGACCTCATGAATCATAGTTAAAGATGACCGATGTGTATAAAGTTTGTATTACCTTTCTCCCAACTAGGGCTTGTTCAAAGTACTGTTGATTATTCAATTTAGGTACAGTGGGAATTCAAATTCTTAGTTCACCACATTATGAGAAACTAACTTGTATTCATTAGTAGCATCTAATTGCATGGTTTATTATCAACTCAATAATGATGATGATGATGATGATTGATAGTACGAGAAATATTGTATATGTAGCAACATGAATATGGTTATGTTTTTCAACGATTAAATCTTTGAGATAGTCAAGCTGAGCGGAATAATATAAGAAAGATGGTGCGAAATGATTTTCCCCCCTCAGATGAAATAAACACTAATCACTAATGAAATGGAGAGGGGGGGGGGGAGGCTCTGTGCCATGCATCCTGTGTCGGTTTAGGCCCATTTGAAGTTGAAGATTTCCGAGCATTGCGCTTAATTAGGGAGGTTTTTCCCAATCTTCCTGCTTCAAAGTTTCATTGGATAAAAAGGTGTGTGTATTGTACAGAGTTTGAGTCGAGACATGCTGGTTATGTGTGTTATGGAAATGCAGCTAATATATATTGGTCACGGTATATTGCGATAGGCTGGTTTGAAATACAGTATTGTAGCGTGTTATACTTTGAATCTTACTTTATCCATGTTCTGATAATATTTTAAAGTTAATTAAGAAATTTTTTTTTTGGAAAAAATAAAGTGATTGATGATTCCTTGGAAACTAACGCAAGCAAACATTTGTTACATTTATGCAATGTATATTGCCGTTGAGATGGACTCAATTCTAGACGCAAATATAGCTTCTGTGGAGGCCGAATCAAAGAACGAATGACAAGTGCATTTCATTCTTGTTACTTTTTTCATATATGTAAGGATGAATACAAACTAAATATTCAACTGACAATGTTTAAATTAAAAAGGTTACTTTTTGAAAAAATAGCAATACAAAAATTCCTAAAATTTGGCTATATCTCACCCTCTTACTATATGTCACTATGTATTAATTCTATTTATTCCGCAGTTAATAGGTGTTTCATGAGTCATACATTATCCAACTCTCAACTTAGTGGAAAGAAGCAGCTATTAAGGAAATAATAACTCTTAGGTAAGGAGTAGCCGCTTTCGAGGTCTGAAAGGTCTCTCTCTCTCTCTCTCAATATATATATATATATATATATATATTAGAAAGGAGGCCTGAGTAATTAGCAAACAAGAAGGATATATAATTTGGGTATTTTTTTTTTTTACTCAAATTGGCATTAATAAAGCGATTGCTTGTAGGTGGAGGAAAGGATAAAGTTAGAAGAATTTTACAGTTAACTCAGGCTTTTTTGCGCGCGCACACACGTGTGTGTGTGTGTATGTTGGCGGTGTGATGATGAACTCAGATGTACGCATAGTTTTTGTGAAGATTAATGGCTGAAGCAGACCAAAGGTCGAGTTGGTAAGTGCATTTGATTCCTAGTTATATCTCAATTAATGCAATATATATGGAGTCATATTTTATTTTTTTGGAGTGTATATAGTGATATTTGTTTGCGACTCATTTAATTTCTTCCAATTTTGGTTTGATGGTTACAAAATAATAATGTAGGGATTGAGTTCACCGTATACATATAGCCACTAGCCAAAATGCGAATATCCGCTCCTAGTGGGGATCGGTCGTATACACTAGAAGGTCAGGTCACTCTATACAAAACTCAATCTTTATATTATTGAACTTTTCATTTTTCAGCAACGAATGGCCTATACAATTAATTAATTAATTTGATCATAATATATGTTTAGTCTTATAGCTGAGTCATGTCAAGAAATTACAACTAGCAATTTAGAAAATCTTTCATCTTCTTATTTATTTATTTTATTTTTTCAACAGAGGGACACATAATATTCTTTTATCAATTTATTTTCCAATATTCTAAATATAGAAAAATTGCTCGCTTGTTTTCTTAGTCAATTATATGTTTAGGGCTTGTTTTTTTAATCTCCCTTTTTAAAAAAACGTTTTTTTCCCAAAAGGACGCTTTTGAAAAATATTATGATCTGATTTTCAAATTATTTAAAAGAGTAATAGTTGCTTAGCTCAACCATTTTCTTTTGAGTTATGGTTAATAAGAAAGCACTGTTTTAAATAGCAAAAAGAAAAAGAAAAAAAAATTTAAAAAAAAAATTTGAACAAACATATTCTAAACCCTTAAAAATAATTAAAACGTAAAAAAATTACTAATTATTTTAAGTAGTTTATGAAAATAGTCAAATATAATAGTTGTCATAAAAATAAAGAATACCCAAATATATTATTAAATTTAAAAATAAATAAGTAATATATTAATTGTTTGACTTTAACCAAATGCAAAATTATTTCTACATTTTATAAAATCAGTAGAATAGTATATTATTTTCAATAAAATTTCTAAATCAGACAAAAACCACTTTTGTTTTTTTAAAAAAAAAAAACATGAACAAACCATCGCATTTCTTCGGCTATACAACTAATAGATGGATCCCCTCATATCACCCTAGAAACAGGGAAAGTGGACCAGGATACATCTAACACACAAGCAGCCAATATCTCTCTGCGTTTCTTTTCCCCCTCACTAGACCCTCCATAAATATTGCAGAGATTCAAATTAACATAGAAGCAGATAAGATGGCACGGTCACTCGGCATAAGGCGAGATAGAGAATACTGGCTAAATCAAATACAGAGGGAAATATTGGATACAGGAGTGAGTAAATTGGGAGAGATAAGGGAAGATATACAAGAACGAATTGGGGAACAAAGAAGCATGGCGACCGAGGATGAAGAAAGACACACAGGAGGTTGCAGAATTACTGTTAGAGGATAGATTGTATAAAGCTATATGTGATAACAACTGGGAAATTGCAAAAGCATTGTTAGAGGAAAAGCCATATGCCTTAACCTCAACAATTACTGCTTCAAGGGAAACACCATTTCATGTGGCTGCTTTCTTTGGTCATGCCAACATAATGAAAGAGTTGCTGAAACTGTTGGGGAATCCAGAATTCCTAGAAGCTCTTGATGAGTCTGGCAGTACGCCACTCTTAACTGCCACCGCCACTGGAAGCATTGAAGTTGCCAAATGTCCAGTGGACAAGAATTCCTACCTACTTTGCATTCCGTACTACGCAAGATCTGAACTTCCTGTTACGTTGGCTTTTGTCAGTGGTCATCATGAAATGGGACGTTATCTTTATTCTCAAACTCCATTGGAATACCTCCAACCCCTACATCTTGGTCATCCTCTTGGTCCTACTCTTCTCCGTTGTTGTTTGCAAACGGAATGTTTCGGTACGTAATATCTATAATATAATAACTACCTATTAATAAATTTATATTAAATAAAAGGAATTTAGCTAAAACTAGTTAATACTTTTAAGTTTTCTAAATTATCTCAATTAGAATGGGTTGTTTAGTTGATCAAAATAAAAGGGTCTTACACTAATAGAAGGTTGTTATAATTATTGTTTCCAGTATATATTATATATTATTTATGGTGTAAATATGATACTTAGATATTGCTCACCACTTACTCACTCAATGCCAAGAATTGCTTTCTGCATCTGATTTCGACGGTTGGCAGCCAATTCTCGGCATTGTGTCCACGACTTCTACAATTCCTAGCCCAACTGAACTTGTCTTCTAGAAACGATGGATCTATGACTGTCAATATCTCTTCTTGAATATTTCTAACAACTTCATTTTCTCTCTTATCAGACTATTATATTTACTCTTATTTTTTCATTGGTTTGTATTATATGCTGTCCTTTGTTAGATATAGATGCAAATTCAACCCCAAGTTTCCAAAGTGCTTCTTTACCCATCCAAAATGAAGGTGAAGACAAAAGGGAAAGAAAACAGGGGAAACTAACAGGGCCAGGTAGTAAAATATGTCTTTTTCTTCTTCTTTGGATTCAACTTCATCTTTAACTAAAATTCTTATAGAAAAAGACATGAAACAAAAACATTGTTTGAACCTTTTCCTTGATATAAACTGAGCTTTCCTTTAATTTCTTCCTTTTTTCGTTTTTTTCTTTTAAAGTTGCAGCAGGGCATCGTTTGCTTCGATGGCTCATCTTCTTTGCTTATAACTTTATAGGTAGGCGTATCGTCTAACTAGCATATCATGCTTCCAAAAATTACATACTATTCTAATGTTTTTTATTATTAGATAGGCCCGTATATTGTATGCAGCATTATTTATGACATATAAATAGTATAACCTGTTATAAATTTTATATTTGATATTGACGAATATTATTGAATTTGTTGATATGTTGATATATACTGATACCGATTCTCATCAACTCAGCTAACAAAAAAAGATTACGTCTCATTGCAGGAATCAAGAAAATAAAAGAGATGAAGTTACAGCAAGCACAAGCAAATGAACTTCTTGATTTAGTTTGTAGGAATGCAAGCAAAGATGAAGGGGGAATTATTGCAGAGGCGTTATTTCTGGCAGCGAAGGAAGGAAATGTTCAGCTTCTGGTTAAAATATCAAATGCAAAGCCTGAAATCCTTCTCACTGCGGACAACTTACGGCGAAGCATTTTCTATTATGCCATTGAGCACCGACGAGCTGGGGCTTTCAACCTTATCCATGAGCGTCGCTTCAATATTGTCTTTCCTTATAGCATAGATAGAGATGGAAATACTTTGCTGCACGCGGCAGCTGCAAAGGCTTCTGACACCATTCTTAACCGCATCTATGGACCGGCGTTACAAATGCAAAGAGAGCTGCAATGGTTCAAGGTTAGTTTTGAAATTCTCATGAGAGATAGCTTATTGGTCATATGAAATTCCACATCAGTGCTTTTAATATCGAATTGGTAATTAAATAAGTGAAATTATTGATTAGTTTAAGGTTCACTGAAACAAAAACACATGCATTGATTTTCCTTTTTCTTTAGTTTCTTTGCTGATCACTTTTTTTCCAAATTAGTTGCAATATTAATCTGGTTTTGCTAAGAATGTGAAATGCAATAATAATTTTTAAAATAAATTCAGGAGGTGGAGAGTTTAACGCCTCCAAGCCTTAGGTATTTCAAAACAAGGACGGCATGACAGCCAGAGAATTATTCAGAAAAGATCACAAAGAGTTAATGGAGCAGGGAGAGAAATGGATGAAAGGCACAGCATCTTCATGCTCAGTTGTCGGCGCCTTAATTGTTACAATTATGTTTGCAGGGGCTTTTACTGTGCCTGGAGGAAATGATGAAAATATTAGATACCCATTATTCATCAAACAACCATTTTTTAAGGTTTTCATCTTCTCAACCATATTATCACTTCTCTCCTCTTCAACTTCTGTTTTAATGTTTTTGGCAATCCTAACCTCTCAATACTCAAAGCAAAAGTTCCTCAAGTCCTTGCCTACAAAGTTGATTTTGGGTCTTTTTTTTCTTTTCATCTCCATTGTAAGCATGATAATAGCCTTTCTGTCTACCATTCGTCTCATGCTAAAACACACAAACTACTCATGGGGTCTCCTTCCAATGATTATCTTTGCAAGTGTCCCCATCTTCCTCTTTGTGCTGTCACAATTCCCCCTTCTTCTTCACACTTTTGTTTCTACGTATGGGAATATCTTTGACAGGAAAGTCATGCCTTGGCCTTGAGATGGATTTGTAATTGATGTACCTCTTTGTTCTTCTATTATTGGAATAATTACGATTTGATGTTTCTTATCGATCAATTACGTTGACACGATCTTTAGTAAGAAAAGAACCTGCGGCTGTTGCAAATATTACTATGACATGCAATATTATTGATACTCTTAGAGCGGTTCAAAGCTTCATTTGTCAAATAGTATGTGTCTAGAAAATTTCTTCTGATAAGAAGAAAATGGATGTACAGAGACTTCATTTCAGCTTTGCCGAAAGCCGAAGATAACCCTTTGATGCTGTAACAGCATTAGTTCAACTTTCGATATTGATGGCCTAAACCTGCAGTTTCAACATAAGCCCGACGGCCTGAACAAAATGGAATTAAGGACCAAGTTTTGCCAAATTGCTTGGGAGGGTAGAGGTGTAAAGTGTCTATTATATGACAACAACATAAAATTCATTAACTAACTTTCTCTTGTTTTATTTTTTATCATCCTTCACTTAACAAAAGAAAATCACACTCCAGCATAGTTATGAAGAGTCCAACATAACATCAAATTTAAGTAAGCTTTAATAGGATATTTAGTGTTAATACACCTATATATCTCTCTCTTGTTTAACCTATGCAAAGTGTCTTAAAGCAAGTGTTGAGGAATAAGAAAGTTCAATCTTCTATAGTGATGTACTGCGGGAGAAGAGAGTGAGAAATTAAAAAAGAAATAATATTTTTGAAATTAATTAATATCTCAAATTTTCAATCTATATCTTTTCTTAGTACTCCCTAATTGTTGAGTTGATTTTGGTCTTAAATATAAAACCTATTTTTGATATTTATCAATATTTATTATTTTTCTAAATTATCCCTACGCGTACTCCTTCAGCCATAATCAAGCACAAAAAGGAGAGAGGATGTTAAGAAAGATAATTATGGTATTTTAAGAAAAACATGTTATATTTCTTATAATTAACTAACTTACCTAACTTTTTTAATCTAAACAAATTAGTTAAATAAATCTTATATTAATGACCAGATCATTATTATTGATCTTCTTTCCCTGCCCGAGGCTCAAGGGTAAAGCTATATAAAAGCTATATATATCAGGTGCCGACTGAGCTTGAAGCCCTGAACCCCTGACTATTTCTCTTTTGAGTTCTCTCTTTATCTACCATGACTTCTCTCTATTTCTCATTTGCCGTACGAATAAAATTTTTTTTGTATATGTCACAGAAACGTCAATGTTACGTCACATAATTGCTTAGAAAAACAAATTATATTGAATGTCAAAATACAGATTTGCACCACTGAATACAAAATAAAAATTATGCCCCCAAAACACAAGATATCCATGGCAAAGCCAATTATTACTTTATATTCTTAATATAAGATCCAATTGACTAATTTGAAGAGATTAGAAAGTTATTAAATTACTTAATTATAGTATAGATCTTTCTAAAATATTTATATGGATCATTAGATTATATATCATTTATAAGTTAAACAAACTAGTTTGGAGAAAAAGGGTAAATATAAATAGTTTAAACTAATTTAGCAATTTTCTTGATTTTTTCAAATTAATCAATTGGATCTTACATTAGTGGACGGAGGTAGTATATGAAATTTGTTTTGTTAATGAAAGTACAGCATTTCGTTAGATCTCAGAGATAATATAAAGAGACAACAAGCGTCATCTTCCCTCTTCGAACTCTCACCTCTTGTCTAATAAGTAGAGGGTGATTAGAGATATAGAAATTAGTCTCCATGTTGTGGGATGACTTTTCTAGAAACTTAGCCAAAAGGACAAAAAAAATCAAAGTTGTATATGAGTATGGTCAATGATCACAACCTCTCAATCCCATAAATAAGCAACCTAGTATTATGAATAACATAATATCCTTGGAAGTATGATTAAGTACTATCACACCCTCTAATTATCAAATTAATGGCTTCTATGCGTTTTTTTTTCTTTTTAAAAAAACGAGGCCTATATTTCTATACTCTCTAGATCAGCACAGGTTAAGTCCATGCATAATTTTGATCCTCTCTGAAATTGCTGGAAGAACTACTGTACGTTTGCAACTGTAGCCACAAATTCATCTTCCCCCACTATGCCTGTTACTAAGGACAGAACTATCCCCTGCTCCTACTTCTAATTGGTCGAACAGACTCATAGTTATAGTGGAGCAGAATGCATGACTCTCCATTAGGTTCTTGTCCAATCAAGTCCTTAGCATTATGATAATCCTCGTTCAAGGTTGCTTCACAGAGCTAACCACACTGAGCCACCCAAAAAGTATCACCGCCGAATCTTCTCAGTGTAACTCTGACACACTCGATTTCCTGTAAAGATGACAACGAAGGCCACATAGCCGGAGATAATGGAGTCCTTTAAAAAAAAAAAAAAAAAAAAAAATAATAATAATAATAATAGTTTCGGCCATAGGAGAAAAGTCGAATAAGATGCCTTTTAATTCGAATTTGAAAATAGTTTAACGTTATAAAGTATATTCCGATTTTTAAATAATGTTTAATTAAAAAAACAGCCCTTTACTTTTAAAAAAATGTTATGATAAATAATGATTAAGTATTAATTAAATTATTTTACTTTAATGCATTATAGTGATCGATTGATTATTTTAATCAATTAATGAGTTAAATATTTTCTTTCACACTGGTTAAGAAAATGGACAATGACAAAAAAAAAGCTGAAATTTTGTAAATACCAAATAAAGAATGTCAACAAAAATTTGTAGTCACTTGCAAATTCAGACTTGTCAATATCAAATAAAGTTGTGTTACTAAACCTGATTTGGAATTTGCAATTTTCAGCTTCTTTTTCCGTTATTCTCCCTTAAAAAGAATCATGTGAATGAAGTCATCTTAAGAAGTTTTAAATATTCTTATTATGAGCATATTCACTAATTTTGTAGTTGACTTTTATGACATAAACAAGTGAATAGCACTGGTTAATATTTTTTGGTTAAAATTTTTCTTCCTTATAAAAATAATCTTAGTATAAATATATGCACTGATTATTCAAAAAATTATTGATACTGTCCTAAATAATTTTATTTTATGTCCATAAGGGGATCATATTTCATAATAACCAAATGAGACAGCTTGCTCCAATGACAATAACAAAATCCAAAGTGAAAGCTAGAACAACTTCAAGTGGAATATATATTTGGAAATTTGTCCCTTTTTTTATCTCTTTTTTTTTGTGTGTCTTTTTCTTCTTCTTTTTTCCTTTTCTTCTTTCCTTTTCCTTTTTTAAGAAATGTTGGTGACGAGTCCTCTCTCGACTGATCGATACTGATATTCAGATATACTATGAAATCTATAGTTAATTTACATTGTTTTAGGCAATGACAATGTGATTTCCAACAATATATCGAAAAAGTTCCCATATAACACTCCCCCTCATACAGATGAGACGATCTTGTAAACTGTATTTCTCATCGTGAAATTTTCTGCCTGTTTCCTGTAAATTTTCTCTCTCTCTCTCGCACACTGGCACACGAAATTTTGTGTGGCATCTTCTGCTATTTTCTCTCATTTTACTTTTCTTTAATTTCTAATTGTTTGATACTTTTTTAATTCCTCTTATCTTTCACGCAATTCCGAGAGAAAATAAAATGATAGATGATTCCTTGGAAACAAACGCCAGCAAGCTTATTTAGTGTGTGTGTGTGTGTGTCCCATCATTTGCCAGACCGCTGGGGAGGGTAAAGGCGGAAAGTTTAATTACATTTGTGTCAAAAATGACCATGTCCATTGTATAACAACAACATAAAATTAACTAACTAACTTTCTCTTGTTTTATTTTTTTATCATCCTTCAACTAACAAAAGAAAATCACACTCCCAGCATACTTATGAAGAGTCGAATACATAGCATCAGATTTAAGAAGATATTTGGTGTTAACACATGAGATAAGAAAGTTCAATCTTCTATGGTGATGTACTACTGGAGAAGGGAGTGAGAAATTAAAAAAGAAATAATAATTTATGAAATGCTGTCCCATAAAAATATGGCAAGATCGAACACATTCAGATGCTGGAATAGAAGGCAAAACTCTCTATTAGGTCCTTGTCCAAACATGCCCTTGGCATTATGATAATCCTCTTTCAAAAATCATGTGAATGAAGTCATATTAAGCATTTGTAAATATTCTTATTATAAGGATATTCGCT